AGATGTGGTAAAGAAATAAATATTTCATCTAAAGGAAATGACTTAAGTGGTTTATTAGATACATCTAATGTGATGGCATGTTTAAGAAAATATAACTATACTAGCAAAGATTTTGAAAATTGTAGTAAATCGACCCTTAAAAATGTGTGCAAGTATTTAAAAATTGCCACTGACAACAAAAACCTTTTCAGGGTCCTTGATAAATTCAGAAAAGTGTTGAATATAGACTGTTCACATATTAAATGTGATGATTTACAGATAACTGATTGTTCCAATCTAAATAGTAATATGTCCATAAAAGTTAATGTCATGTCAGTGGATGACCAAAGAATTAGTTCTTTAAAAAATGTGTCAGACATTTTCAAAACTAATTCTTCTAATACTAAATTAGATAATAATCTAAAATACAAGAACCTAGCTTTAATTAATAATTCTGATGCATTCTGCTCAGAAAATGTAGGTTCATTGATATCTCCAATAACGAATAAAGTAATTATAGTTAATGATAGTAATATTCCAACTCCTAAATCGAGTGATTTTACTCCAAACAATAAAGAAATGAACCAGCAAAGTACTCCAATAAAACAAATCTGTAGCTTAAACGAATATATGTCACTCCTATAAAATATGGCCCCGTTAAAACGTACAAACGTACAGCAACTCCTATTAAGGACGCCTATTATAAAAAGACACCTGTTAAACCTGGTGTAGTTTTACCACATGAAAGTGTAAATGACTTTCCTGATCATGATAAATTCAGAAAAAACAATCGTAAATCTTTTAAAAATTGTTTGTTTGAAGAGGGAACAATCAATTTTACTAAAGATGAGTGGTCAAACATGATTATTACAACTGCTTTTGGAAAAGTTGAATTGAGAAGTGAGACCTATAGTTTAATGTTTCGTAAACGTGTAAAAGCGGTTAATAACACTTGCGTTATAAACATGCATAGTTCCCATTATCCTAACACTGGAAAAATTAGAGTGTACATGTACTGTAGTCATGAAGGCTGTAAAAGTTTTAATGTAGAAGTTTGTCCCAATTTTGATGGTACACAAGCCAAAGTATTTAGTTCTAGTAGAAATTATTACCATGATCCCGAAAATGAGGGAAAGACAACCTACATTAAAGGAGATGAACGTGATTTAATTAGAAACGAGATGAAAAAAACCAGTAGTTTTAAATATAGGGCTAACACGATTGACGAATCGTCACCCTCCAAAAAATAAAATCTAATGATGTAATACGCAAAATAAGGTCTGAAGCTTTGTGTGCCGAAGACTATGCAAACAATGATCTAAATGATTTAATATGTAGGTATAAGGATCCTAATAATAAAGCCTTCTTAAAACTCGTAGGTTTGCCGATATACGCCCATTGCTACAGCAACGAGCAACTACAAATAATAAAAAAAATTAGAAAAACATACCCTACGTATATGCTTACCGCCTATATGGATGCTACTGGTTCGGTAATTAGAAAAGTAGACCAAGCTAACAAAAGACCTTTATACTACGCTGTGGTTATTCGAGTTCCACTACCTTTAAAAACAAAGGTTACTTGTCCAGTATTAGAAATGCTTAGCTCAGCACATGATATAACCGCCATATCACCATGGCTTATGGCTTTTAAGAGTTTTGTGATAAAGGGTGATTTAGCATGGCCTATATTTCCCAATGTGGTAACAGATTTTAGTTTTGCACAAATGCATTCACTGTCCATGGCCTGGAACGGGTTCAATTCGGTATTTGACTACCTAAATTGGACTTATAAAGTTTTGTATGAATAAAGATATTTATATAGATATAAATATTAATAAAGATCATTTAAATGTAACTATTATTAATATTTGCATAAATCATTACACAAAAGTTGTTGTAAGCCACGTTTATAAATACTATCAAGGACCAAAACTTGATAAAACTAAAAACACAAAAAATTGCATAATAAATTGGATTTGTATACTCTTTGATATTGAAACTATTGAAGACATTGAAAAATGGTTTAAAATGTTTGTGTTTATATTAATGTCACCTTCGTTAAATAATGATGTGATAAGCGCTATAAATATTATGGAAAGCAGCTGTAAAGTTGTTGATGAGGAATTATGCGAAAAGGATACTGACCATTTAGAAATACTTGATAAAGAATTGTGTATGTCAAATACTAGCAGGTCACTTCTATACTGTAGATTCCAGATAATTAAAAACGAAGTTCACGATAAACTTGTAACGTACAATGAACAAGACAAAAAAAATTCTTACTATGATGAAACTTACATAGAAGAGTTTATTAGCAAGTGTATACCATACATTCCACTTTGGACACCAGTTATGAATATAAAAGTAAATAACGGTATAACAGTTCGTCAAAGCAACGCAACAGTTGAATCTCATTTTAAAACGGTTAAACAGAGTTTATTAGAAAGTCAGACTAAATTGAAATCTGGACGTTTTTTAGAATCTTGTAGAGGATATGTATTGAATGTGTACAAACAATGTATGCATAATATCAGGCAAAAGAGGGCTACTAAGTCATTAAAATGTGCTGCTAAAAGGCAACTCGAATTTAGAAGTAAAACTAATGAAGAACTTATCCAAAATAAGACTTCTCATAAGCGTAAAGCTGATGACGCTCACTTAGATGCTGAAGAAAAATGGGGAAGAACTCCAAAACGACAAAAGCATCTGAAGCCAATAGGTCATCACCCATTTCAAGCAATATCCAAATCAGCAGAAAAAAAAAGGTTGAATAATGATTCACCTAAAACAGAGAAACAAACTATAGATGAAACATTATTGTTAAATGAGGTAAACAAGAAAACAGAAATTAATCAATTCAATTCAAAAATTGAAATAATTGTTTCCCCTGAAACTTATTTAAAAGATAATAGCGTTATAATAAATGATTGTGTTGATATTGAAAATATTAAAAAAAATCAGAGTCAAATTAATTCAATTAAAAATGATATAAGTAAGATATCATTTAAAGAATGTGATATGGAAGTTGAAAAATGTTCCAACAAATCAATACCAACTCCAGGTTGTTATAAAACTCCAGATAATAGTATTGTTAGAAATAATTTGTACAGTAACAAATTACCAAAAAATTGGATTATTATAGAAAGGTTGAACACAAAAATAGAGTAAGTCATTTGTTTGGTGGTAGAGTGAAACATCTGAACTATACGGTTGGAACTTATTACCATATTATACCTGATACCTTATGTACCTTACAAACATTAGATATAGAGGACTTTATTTGTCGTAATGGAAGAAACTGGTTGAGTAACTTTATCATAGATATTTGTTTGGCTATTGNTTATAATAGATATTTGTTTGGCTATTAAAGTCCCTAAAAAACAGTCGGATTTCAGTATATTATACTGTAATCAAGTGTCTGACATTTTAAGTAAATCAGAAGTGAATGAAGAATTAACAAATAAGTATAACTTTGTTGAAAATAGTACAGTCATTATGCCATGGTATGAGAGCACTCCAAGTCATTGGATTATAGATGTTATAAAATTTAAAACAATTTATAATACCAAAAACATACCTGAAAATTCAGGGAAATGTTACATCATATACATCACTGTCGAAATTTGGATCCCAATTATAGTAATCAGGCTCAAAAATATACTTCAAGGTTTCAAAAACTAAATAAAGCATTGCATAAACATTGCACTTATAATGGTGGGTACATTCCTACTATTACATGGACTCAATATGAAGACACAAACATACCAAGACAAGTTGACAATTATAACTGTGGAGTATTTGTAATTTATTATGCAATTACTATAATGAACGAGTTGAACTTTGACAGCGAGTTTAATCCAGATACATACAGGATTGAATTAAAAAAATTATTGTTGGAAAATTCAGGAGATATGACAAATCTATATCTATATTGTTCAAAGCATGAAGATAAACACAAAGGAAGATATATGGAATGGATGTCATGCAATAAATGTTGTCGGTGGATAGAAATTAATTGTATAACTGAAAACTACAGACTAGACGACTAAGTCAATAATGATTTTTATTGTATATTATGTGACGAGGGAAAAGATGAAACAAGAATGTCTTTAAGATTAATGAAACGGTCTTAAAAAAGAAATAATACCTAAAGTAGTAATATAATAAATAATTTAATATTATAATTCATCGGTTATATAGTACATACTAATAAAATTCAGTAGTATTCTGCGGAGTAATGCAAGTGTTAACTATTGTAATTAAGAATTAATATATCAATTTTCGAATAGTAATAAGAAAATAATTACAATATTAGAGTTAATATAATCATCATAATAAACCGTTCTTACAGATAAATAGTATTTTGCTTTTACTCTTTTTAAACAAATTCTCTTTAAAATATTAATTGTCATTCACATTTTTAAGTTGTTAAAAAATTGTAGACACTCATTGTAACCACACCTACTATAAGTCATCAATTATTTATAAATGATTTGTAGTTGACAGTCCGAAGTCTGGTATTCATTATTTAAATTTATGAACAAATTATGTTCATGAATTTCTTAGAATTAACAAGTGGGACGGCATTGAGTGTTTAACAGATTTGACAAAATAAAATATAATAAATTTCAATAAATTAATATAATAGTTCTATTATGTTAAAATTAGATAACTAATTAATGTAAAATGTCAGCTTTCGGGATATGCTATGAAATACCGGGGACTCGTCTATGATCATTGTCATAAATGCAAGTTGATGAGGACAGTACGTGTGTCAATACGTTATCAAACGTATTAAGCACTTTTTTTAAATAACAATATTCTCTTAGATCGACGAACTAATATGTATTGGTCTAATTGAGACGATTGTCAGAAAAATGTGTAAAATGTTTTTGTTACTTGGTTATGAAAGTTTGTATTAAATATATGAGGAAAGACATATAAAAGCAAATTAACAAGGATTTTTTTTTTATAATGTAATTTATTTAAATATAAAAACAAAAATCAATATATTTATTTCTCCATTGGAGGTGGTGGCAGCGGCGGCAATCCTGCTGCTAAAAAAAAAATGTTTTTATTTAAATTAGTTATCTTATAGGTATTGTTTTACAGTGGTCCAACGTTTAGGGAATTGAGAAATATTTTTAAATTCTATATTATCAATTTACTTTAAACAATTATTGTATTTTTATCATTGTTTCATAAAATTTAAAAAGAAAAAAGAAGTTGTTAATATCTTCAATTTCATAAAACCATAATTGTAGCATTCTCTAAGATTTGCACCACTGTAATTTGTATTATTTTGTGTGTAAAATTACATAAGCCAACATAAAATTTGAAACTAGATTTATAGAGGTGATCGAAATCTTGTAAGACACTCATTTTCTCAGAAAATAATGAGAATTTTAAATTTTATTTTAGAGAAAAAATATTTCCATCATATTATCAAATCAAAAATTGTGGTTCCCATTTAAAAAAATTATAAATAAACATTTTTATACCTGATGGGATAAAAAAAAAATTTATTTAACTTCATGTTATTGTAGATTTTTATAAACTTAATCATTTTTCTTTTTACAAAAATTTTAAACTCTCAATAATTTCTGAGAAAATAAGTGTCATACCAGATTTCGATCACCCTGTAGAGAGATTAAGTGTTTATTAAATTGAACCTATAAAAATGTCTAAGTATTAATAAATATATTTTTTTCCGCATATTTAAAACTCATTTGTCAATTTTTATTAACAAAAAATGTTATAGAACTTAAAATTTTACAAACAGAATTGCTGTTAGTTAGAATTTTTCTTTTAATCAATTGTTTAATTAATTATAAAAATATCAATTTTACTGTATTGATTTTTAAAAATTAAGGTTGTATATAACAACTGAAATTTAAAAATCAATTTTAATTTATTATAATCTAGATAAACTAGAAACATAAAATGCATCCTATAAAGATTGTCAACAGACCTTAAAATAAATTAAATGAAAAAAATATTAAAATAAATAAGTACCTTTAATGTGGCACTCCTGTTCCCCGTGACCGGGGAAATGCAATGCTCGCATGATGTTTTTTTAATGAAGGATATCCAGGTGCTATAATTAAAAAATAAGGATTTATTATTGAGGTAAAAATAGATTACAATTATGAATATTTTTTAATTGTAGTCAATAACATTAATATTATAATACATATAACGCGTATCCAAATGGTACGGCACTCGAGGTATATTTATATATATATATATATTATTTATATTTATGTCTGGGTATATATATTTACGTAAGCACAATAGTAAAAACAGAGAAACAACGTCGGAAGACAATAATTGGCTCTTATAATATTAGATATTCTCCTTGATTCGTACAATGTTATACTTATGTAACAACGGCAACTACACTTCTGTCATCGGTAAGGAGCACACTCGCCGCGATCCAAAGTTAAAAAGAACACGGGAAAAACACTGAAACACAACAGCACACGAGAGTAAGGTAAACCAGTTAAGATCAACGTCAAAACCGAAAACAAAAGAAAAAGACAGTGGAAGAAAATACACCACTTCAGGTGAACGTCGAAACGAAACAGGACGCAATATCGGTAATCCATATTCGGCGGCGGCCTTATCTCAGTGTCACGGGCGGGGTGACGACCGATTGTCATATTAATAGCTGGACGGCTGATATCGAGAGAGACACGGGTGAGCGCCAGCCTAGAGCAAAAGGCGGTGCCGTGTCACATATAATATTAATATCATGTAGTCTTCATGATTGATAGAGTGTGATGAACTGAGTGTTCCAAGTCCAAGTTCAATCACTTGGATAAGTGTGATGAAGAGTCAAAATAATAATTATAATGCAACATTCACTGATTAAACACTGACCACCAAGAAGATAGTCAAGTCCCCTTTAGTATTTACACAATTCATTAAATATTAATACCATAATACTTTCTTCAATTATGGTATTTGGCAGTATACTCTTACTTTCTAGTAATTACATAATGTTACATATAAATTCCTTAAAACTACAATTTACAAAATAATTATGGGTTCACTAAATTAGTAACAATTGACACAATACCATTGATTAAATAAGCAACATAAAATAAATCAGCATTAACCTTTAGGCTTACGTCAATTATTAAAGCAAGACAAAAATTAAAGAACCAGTTTTTAGATGAAAAAAAATTACTTTTAGAATGTTATTAATTTTAAAAGAAATATATCACAAATATTACCTTTGACATGGCATTCCAAACGTGCCCGGGGAGACCACAATAAGAGCACATTTTTGAAATTGGAGGCAGACCAGCAGCTAAAAAAAATAATTGAAGTTAGCAATAATTTTATTAGTCTCAATAAATATAATGACAAAATTAAACATTATACATGAATAAAAACATATTGAAAGTATAACTCAATATTTGCTAACTAAATAATAGGTTATACTACTAGTGAGAATTAAACAAAATTATTACCTTTTACATGACAATTACTAACAATGTGGCCATTCTGGCAACAGTGATTGCAAGCTGAAATTGATAAAAATAGTGTAAATCATTGTAATCTTCAATTCAAGTTTTTATTTAACCAGGTAAATTGGGGTAGTTGTGAATGTATTTTAAATGATCAATGCACATGATTATATTTCCATGTTATATTTAATGATAGTAAGACGTATAAGGACCAGAACTTTTAAAATAAAATAAAAGCTGATAAATAATCCTGGAGAAAATATAAATTAACAATTACCCCACTCACCTCTATAGTAATAGAACATTATGTAAAAAAAATTTTAATAACTAACCACCTCTAAATTTCTTTTTGATTTCAATATTTTTGAGCAGTGGTAGCCCCCTTTTTTTACCTCCACCTCCCACCCCCCACTATTTGTGAAAGTGAAATACATCTAGAACAAAATAATAATAATTAGACATAGGTCTATAAATAATTTATAAGGAGTTTTAATTACACTAACCTCCTTATTTACACTTTTAATTAAAATTCATTAATTAAAAAAAAACGGTAGCACAGTGGGGTCCAGGCACAGTGTGGACGAGGCATAGATGGGACAAGTATAGATGATATCTGACAGTGATTAAAATCACTATCATAAGAAACGCTTCGATGCAAATCTGTAGATAGTGTTTCCTTTAGAGAAATTGGTGAAATATTTTAAAAGCAACATGAACTCTTATTTCTTTAATTATATCCTGATTAGTAGTTCTTTGATTTTAAAATATAATATATGAATAAATACTAATTATAGTTTTTAAATTTAGTATGAAATTGTGAGGCCAGCTATGATGTATGGTTCATAGTGTTGGGCGGTTGATAAGAAAGTAGAGCAGAGAATAAGTGTAGCAGAGATGAGAATGCTTAGTTGGATGAGTGGAGTGACTAGAGAAGATAGGATAAGGAACGAGCATATAAGAGGAAGTATAGGTGTTGCGTCAATCGTGGATAAGATGACAGAAAATAGACTTAGATTGTTTAGTCATGGTATGAGGAAAGAAGAATCGAAAGCTGTAAGAACAGTTATAGAAATGAATGTTGAAGGAAGAAGAGATAGAGGAAGACCAAAAAAGAGATGGAGGGATGCTATTGAATGCGATTTGAGGACAGCTGATGTGAGCGTAGAAGATGTGGGAGATCGTGTCAAGTGGAAGCTTAGGATAAGGGTGCCCGACCCCAAGTAGTTGGGATTAAGGCAAAGAAAAAGAAAAATATTACCAGATATTCCGGTGGCAATTGACATAATATGATTGTTATTTCGGAATGTACAATTTAGCGTTTAGTTGGGTTTAAATAATATAGCGTCAAATCAATTACCTACTCTATCGGTTGTATCTCAATATACACTACACTTTAATGATACAATAAATAAATAAACTCACACATACACACATATGCATTTATAACATTGTGTCTAATGTAAGTATAACATGATAAAAAGTAACCGTAAAATGAAAAAAATGGAATATAAATTTTATTACTCATATTAAATGTAATGTAACTCGAAAAATATTTGTTTAAATGAAAAAATATAAGATTATATTTTTATTTATAATTGTCTTTTAAACAACTTTTGTGCGAAACTTTTTTTTGTAAGTTAAATATTTTTTTTTGAGAAAATTAAGAAAGCTCATATTTTTGAACTTTTGCGAGGATTTAAAAAAAAAGCTCAATTCCAATCTTGAGGACTATTAGTATGTCATTATACATATTTTAATTCAACTTTTAAAAAAACAAAATTTTTTCCGCAATTTTTCCTTTGTTGACAGGCCTAGATGTCAATTTTAAACTTGTAATTGAGCTAAAAGTTATGGTAATATATTCAATTTATTTTACTATAAACTTTCATAAATCTTTATCAAAAATTTTTCATCAACTTTAAAGAACCAAAAAAATAGGTTAAAATTGAAAATTTGGACTGATTATTTTTAACATATTAAAAATCAAATCAGTAATAATTTGAAAACAAATTTTTTTTTCTTTTAATTATTATTTTATATATATAATTAGTAATAATATAAAAAATTAGAAGTGATAGAAATAGTCTACTTGCAGATTTGAAAACAACGCGAAAATTTGATTTAGAAAAGTATATTTTTGCTTCTGATGAAAGTTCCTTGTAGTCCAGTGCATTTTTTTATAGTAACAAACAGTTTTTATTGAAAATTATTGTATCAAGTCGTTTAAATTTTTATACACGTANTTATTGTATCAAGCCCTTTAAATTTTTATACACGTAAAAGTAAAGCAAAATATAACTTCTTTATTATTTTTATAATTTCTCCGTTTAAATTACAATATTAAATATCAATTTCATACTAAATTTAATAATTATAATTAGTATATATTCATATATTATATTTTAAAATCAAAGAACTACTAATCATGATATAATTAAAGAAATAAGAGTTGATGTTGCTTTTGGACGAGTGTGAAGTGAGCAATTTCTAGCTAGCAATTTCTTATCAATTTAAAAATGCGGTAACAACTTCGTTACCAAATACATGGTACTAACTGAAGTCGTTAGAGGCCGCTATAATACACAACTTAAAGAAAATATTATGTTATTAACTGTTTCCACTAGAGGCCACTATAATAACCAACAACTTCAAGAAAATATTGTTCCTAAATGATGACGATAGAGGCCGCTATAATAACTCACAAATGTAGTAAAACAATTTGTTATTCAATTTAAAATTTTGAAAAAACATATATGCAAATGTAAATAAATTTATCTCCCCTAAACAACCTTCCTAGAATTTATTTTCTTGAATTTTGTTATTTCTAAAGTAGTGGCCGGGCACTACAGGCACGCTTACAATAATAACTAATAGATTGATTATAAACAAAGAATACTAATTTTTTATACATAATTCTAAATAAATAATTCACTAACGCAATATTAATTACAATTTAGTAACACACCTTGTAACATAATAAAGTTATCATGAGTATAAGGTCACAGGTAACCATATTCAAACAGTGCGCGTCGTATATCTGTAGGGTCAGTGTTGCATATCCACACATAATTAGTTATTAGACAAATCATTTTCCCTACCACCTGTGAGCCTTGACCATACCACATTAGAATGGTCACGCTGTCACCTACCCTTTCCCATGGGCAATCGAGTCGGCTTTGGAAAGTATGGTTATGTTCAAAAAAAAGAATCATCATCATCGTTTCAATAAGTTTTTGATGGTTTTTTTTTTACAAATCCACGATGGAGGAGTAAATCTATCAATTTGGCTTGGTCATGTTTATGACACTACCTCACAATTAACTATCTGGACTTGGACATCTCAACAAACTAAAATGTGGTATATTTCTATTTTCTCTTTTGTATTCTTTTGCCATGCGTAACTTTGTACATGATCTTTTATATCTTTTGGGTTATTTGACCATGTGAGCAAATTTCATTGTTTTTAGTTAATGATTATATAGATGCTGACTACGGTTATATTTATGTAAATTGGTTAATGTCATATAATTCTATATTTCATTGTTCCATAAGCTGACAATATCCTCGGATGTGGTCAGGGTGGACATGGTGAACATCTCATTGGGTCCTCCACATTTATGTAGAAGATACCTATTGACGTTGGTGACATGTCCACTATACCCTGACTCATGCGACGGAACTGCCATGCTCATGTTTCCCCTTTATTCTATTCTAATTGTCAGTTATTTCATAATATACAGCTAATTTGAATTAAATTATAACTGTGGTCTGTTTAAGAAAAATGAAACACTTATCAGTATCTCTAGATTATAAATGGTGTTTCTTTTAAATTAGACAATGTCAGGGGCGTTACGATGCTTTAGACCCATTACTTTAGTCTATATACATAAAGAAGAAAACTTTGTTAGTATAATTATATAACTCCAAATTCAGTGTCCACCTTAAGAGTACGACTATAAATTAATAAAGGAACAAAAAAAACAATGTACACTCTTGATATTAATTGAAATGGCCGTAGAATAAACTTCCATAATTCTCTTAACTTCATTCTCATCATTTATCCTGGTTTAAATATATCTATGTTTAGCTTTTCTTATACAAAAAATTTGGATAAGTTTTTTTCTACATTATAAATAATTTATTATGTTTAATAAAACTTAATAGATGCATTTTGTTCCATGTAAATTGTAAATTTTATTATATTATATTGTTTAGTTAAATTAATTGATTTAAATCTAAACCATTGGTTTTATATTTTATCATTATATTTAGTTATGTGTATTAGAAAATTAATAAAAACTGTTTTCTTTTATAACCTTCCCCCATAGGAAAAGGTATGAAATCCCTGGTCCTCCGGCTATGCCTCGGCCCAGGATGTACCCTCCTTTGGGTCCTTGTAAGTTTAGCTTACAACCTTTTAACAGGTATTATACTGGGTATAAAAAATTAAATACTTACTCAAAAAATAGGTAGTTAATAATTTATACTTCTTACTTTCTAAGATTACTGATTTTATTTGATTACAAAGTTGTCACACATATATTATTACAATAATATAAATTAGCTAAATGCTTTCATTTATAGGGCAGATATTCAAAAATTTGCTAAAATCCTATTTTATGTATACGTAAAAATAGGCCTCATATACATAAATTGTTTCATACCACAAGAAATTTAATTTGTAAATTTTTTATTGAATATTTTAGTATGTTTAGGTTCTTTCGACTTTTAAATGGATGCTCGATATATTTTAGTAGCTTTTAAATGTTTTTTTACACATTTCTTTCCCTGTCTCAAAATAACATTTTATTAAGACATGTATTAACTAATCACGACCACAGT